AACTGATTGCCACATCAACAAATTGCACTAAATATTGAACAAACAAGAAGGCATTTCTGACTGATAGCGTGTTCTAAAGCGTACACAAAACGTGATCTGATTTGTCTTCTGAATTTAAACTTAGCATTACTGAAAATTTTTGTGCATTAGATTGTTAAGCCTATTAATAGGCTAGTTGTATTGTGAAAACTTATTAGATTGAATCAGAATCAAATTTATTCTATTCATTTAATTTTCTAGAAAAGCTATCGCGAAGAAAGAGGTAAACTGTATACATAAATGAAAACTGCCTAATCTCCATTTTTCACTGAAAAATCAGCACTCTTCTTGACATCTATTTAATTTCACCTCAAATATGGGTCTACATATTTTACACTAAAAATGGGTATATTTCATAAAACAATGGGTGATTAAAATTTCACGAAAGTCATATCCCAAAAAAATATGCTATAAATCTCATGTAGTAGAGATACTCAAAACAACTGACCTATATCCAAGGCCAAATTAAGAGAGAAATGCAAAAGGTAGAGGACTTCTTGTCAAGTCATGAAAATTGTTAAAAAAATAATTTGTTTCCCCATGTTCGACAAGGGTAAATTCCATTTCGCAGTAACTAGACTTTTGACTCTAGTTCAATTAGGTAACTGTACTTCAATTTTGTTCAATTAAATAAGGGTAAATAGCACAGAATATCCTTACCTTTCAATGTCATTGGACAATACGTCCCTACCTTTCATTTTTTAACATTTTCACCCATACCTTCCACTGTTCATTGCGCAAAATATCATTTTTATCCATTTTTTCAATATTTTCAATAAAAGACGATTTTACCCTCATATTCAAATAAAACAAAAAGAAAAAGATGAATAATCAACTGCAATTATAGCCCTTAAGTTTTTTAAAAAATACAAAGAAATCATAAATTCTCCACTACCACCGCTTTCACAACCTACCAAGCTGCCACTTATAATACACATATCACCGCCTTTCAGCCACCATGCCCACCGGACTTCACCACCACCAACCTCGCTTCACTCCCCCCACCGTCCTCCTCCATACGAATTTGAAGATTTGAGCACTTAGGAGCCACCAATTTTGGTCAGACAGCTCTCCTGCATCGTGCTCATTGAGAGTTTTGGACCAAAAATTGAAACAGTTGGGGGGATAATTAGTTCAATTAGATTCACACACATTGTCGTTTGGGTTTGTTGATGATTCGATTGATGCCAATTTGGGAATTTAGTGTGGAGAAGGGTTTGGTAAAATGGACGTTGCCACTGTCGAATGTCTAGAATACAGCAGAATGATTTGAGGCAGGTTTGATTGATGTGAGGCCATGTATAAGTTCGTCGAGGTGAGTAAATAATCGTCGGTAATGGTGCGCAATTGTGGGTAGCGCCGAAAGTGGGGTTGCCGTGAAGGGTTGTCTACAGCAGTTTGGTATTTTAGGCTACAAATGTGTCTGTTTTCGACAGAATTTGTAACAATACTTTGGGAGAAGATGTTGGGTCTAGTGGTGGTGGAGTCCGACGGGTGTGGTAGCCAGAAGGTGGTTCTATGTGGATCTATAGGTGGGGACTTGGTGGGGCTATGAAAGTGGTGGTGGTAGAGAATTTAGGACTTATCTGTAATATTTTGAAATATTTAGGACTATGATTGCAATTAGTTGTTTATTTTTTCTTTTCTATTTGTTTCATTTGAGTAGAAGGGCAAAATCGACATATTATAGGAAAATGGTTGAAAATGAACTTTAGATAAATGAAAGTTGAAAGGTAGGGCTGAACAAGCCNTGCAATTAGTTGTTTATTTTTTCTTTTATTTTCTTTTTCTTTCATTTGAGTAGAAGGGTAAAATAATCATTTTATTGGAAAAATGATTGAAAATGACCTTTGCGCAATGAAAGATGGAATGTAGGGCTGAAAATGACAAAAAATGAAAGGTATGGACGTTTTGCACAATGACATTGAAAGGTAGGGATGATTTGTACTATTTACCCATTAAATAACCGCACTTAGTTTTATTTCAATCAGGTAAGTCCGTCTAATTCCATCACTTGAATTGACAGAAATCTAGGACATAACAATCAATAAAATATGCTTACCATTTATTTTTGTTAAGAAAATAAATTAGGAATCCCGTATATTAGGCAAGCACGTATATTAGGCAAGAGTATAATTATGGGTTCTTATGTTTCGTTATTTACAAATTTTCCATACGTGTACTCTTTAACGTCTCTATATAATGAAGTTGAGGAGGGGAAGATAATTATCTTCTTCTCACCAAAATATTTCGTTCTCTTCATGGTATCAGAGCAATATAATTTTTTTTTTTCCTTTCTTTTCTGTCGCTATTGCTTCTTTTTTTTTTTTCCCTTTTTTCTTCTATTGTCCAGATTGCATATCTTCGTGGTTGAGGTGTTGAAGTAATCAATTACAAAACGTGTGTTGTGTTGCCATTACCCCGAAAGTATGCTCCCCGTTGTCGATTGAATGGTTGATTGAAGACGGCGATATCCAGTCGAGTGATTGTGCAGTGTTCGCCGGCATCCCTGCGGTAGTTTGATGGTGTTTTCATGGCGATTCAGCTGTTGTAGAAGGTGTGTTGTGTTGTGTTGTGGTGTGTTGAATCCGTCGGCAGTGATCGGGGACTCTCAATTGGTCGGCAGATTCGGTGGATGTCGGCTTCTGTATACCGTTTTCCTTTGAGCAGTGGAATGTGTGTTAAAAATTAATTTGGGCCTTCTTTTAATCCAGCCACCGTTGGGCTTCACTTGGGCTATTTCTTTTTGGACTTCAGATTGTGGGCTTCTTATTATTCCAGTGGATAATTAGGTCTTTATTTTTGTTTCATTTACTTATTGGACTAGTTAGTCATTTTGTTTATTATTCGGCTCATTTGTGTGGTTAGTATCATGTCATCCAAGATTGAAATGTTCAATCTAACATAACCCATGACACCTGAAAAATTAAATGAAAGAAATTATACTTATTAGGCAAGATGTGTCGAGGTCTTTTTGCGAGGTAAGGGGTTATTCAACCACTTAATTTTGGACAAGCCATCAGCCAAGTCCTCAGACAGCGATTCTTCAACAGTTGATTCTACTCTCAATGATCGATGGGATCAAGAGGATAACGCAATCATTGGACTTGTGATCAGTAGCATTGAGCTACATATCGGTTCATTTCTTTACATGTCTACGGCTAAGCAAATTTGGGAGCATCTCAAGCATATACATTCTGGAACTGGAAATGGCACCCAAATCTATGGGATGTGTAAACTATACTTTGGGCTTGAGAAGGGATCATCCAGCTTTGTTGAATATTATAATAAGCTTTTGGCTGTCTGTCAGAAGAGAAATGTGCATCCAGGTCGAGATGTACTTTCATTTTTCTAATAATACCAAAGTTGTATTAATTTGAAACGCCAACTTTGAAGCTATGTTTTGTCTTAGATATTTAATTATTTGGACGAAGAATTGGCAAATTTTGTAAGCAACTATGAATTTTTTGTTTTATTTCTTTTTCTTTTCGGGTCATCTCCATTAACTCTTGTTACCGATAGAAGCATAATTATAATTTTTTCTTTGATTGATTACTTGAAAGGAGTTAATCTGTGTATTGTTTGACAGAAGGAGCACATATATTTGACAAATTTGGCATATATCTCTTTGTATTTTAATCAAGACAACAATGAATGTCTATTTCATTACAGGTTATGTACCTGAAATGAAAAGTAGCAATCAAAGTGGACGTGGTGATAGCTCTCGGGGTGGACGAGATACTAGGAGCAATGGTCGTTTGGGAAATCGTGAGCCTCGAAAATGTACTCATTGTGGTCGTCTAGGTCATTCTATTGATTATTGTTGGGACTTACATGGCAAACCATCCGGTTCCGCTAATCAGGTCTCGTCTACTGAAGATTATCACCCAAAATCTAGGCAGTAACTAACCCTAGCTCAACACAAGATTCTGATTTCTTATATGTCCCTCGGGATGATTATGCATAGTTCTTGGCTCATCAACAAGCCACTTCCACTTGTATGGCCACTCTCGCTAAATCAGGTACTACTCTCACTGTTTACCATCATCCTCTCACAATCTATGGATTATCGATTCTGGCGCCACTGAACACATGACTAGTCCGTCCACTTCTCTTCTTGATTATTATCCTGTTACTTTTTCCAAAAGTATCACTCTTACTAACGGTTCCCGAAATAGTGTTGCAGACTCAGACAATGCCCATCTTAACCCTAATATTGATTTATCAGCTGTCCTTCATGTTCCTGGCTTTCCCTTTAGTTTATTATCTATTAGTAAACTTACCACATCTCTTCAATGTTCTCTTACATTTTATCCTTCCTTGTGTGGTTTTCAGGATCTCAAGACGAAGAGGATGATTCGTATGGGGCATGAAGTTGGTGGATTGTATTACCTGGATCTTTCTCCTACGGCTTTCCAGACATCCGTTTCACCCATGCCGTGGCANATCTCAAGACGAAGAGGATGATTGGTATGTGGCATGAAGCTAGTGGCTTGTATTATTTAGATCTTTCCCCAGTCTCTCCTCCTCGAGCTCTCCAGTCTTCTGTTTCACCCATACAGTGACATTGTTGTCTTGGTTACCCATTTCTTTCCTCTTTAAAACGTCAAGTTGTGAGTCTTCGTAATGTGTCCTCACTTCAATGTAAGGCCTGTCAACTTAGCAAACATCACCGTGTATCTTTTCCTTTAAGAATTGTTAGTCGTGTTTCTAGTTTATTTGAGTTAGTTCATTCTAATATATGGGGCCCGACCAATATTTCCTCTAATAAATTTCAATATTGTCACTTTTGTGGATGATAATTCTCGAATGACATGGCTATTCTTAATGAAAAATCGTTCTAAGTTGTTTTCTATTTTTCAAATCTTTCGCACTTTGATCAAAAATCTATTTCATCAGAAAATTCGTATTTTACGGTCTGATAATACCAAGGAATATATGTCTGCTTCTTTTACATCACTTCTATCTTTTAAAGGCATTATTCATCAAACATCTTGTGCGTATACCCACAACAAAATGGAGTTGCCGAACGCAAAAATCGTCATTTGTTAAACGTTACTCGTGCTCTTCTTTGTCATACACATCCCTAAACGGTTTTGGAGTGATGCTGTCCTTACTGCTTGTTATCTCATTAATTGCATGCCTTCCTCTATTTTGGACAGCTCATCTCCTTTCTCTCTTTTGTTTTCTTTCTCTCCACAGTACTCGTTACCTCTCAGGGTTTTTAGGTGTATTTGTTATGTTCATCACTTTGGCCCTGGTCATAACAAACTTGACTCTCGCTCTATGAAATGTATTTTCCTTGATTACTCCCAAGCACAGAAGGGGTATCGTTGCTATAATCCTTCCCTACGACGCTACTTCATCAGTACAGATGTCACTTACGACGAATCCACACCCTATTTCTCTGATCATGGTACGTTTCTTGAATCCACTCGGGATCCCGTTAGCTTACTTATTCCGTATATACCAGTTTGTCTCTCTCCAATACCAAACTCCTCTTCGTCTATTGGACCAGAGTCGTCGTCCTCTCATAGGGAACCACCTCCTCCTTTACAGGTTTATACTTGACCATCTAACCCATCAACGTCTGTAGTCCCTTCTGTCAGCTCGCCGTCTCCAGATCCTGCTCCAGTCATATGTTCTAACCCTGGGTCATTGCCCATTGCTCTTCGTAAAGGTAAACATGCTTGTTCACTTAACACCATATCAGCTACTATATCACTTTTGATTCGTTGTCACCATCTTTTTCCTGTTTCACATCCCAACTTTCTAGTGTTTTTGTACCTAAGACAGTACCACAGACTTTATCTGATACTGAGTGGCGAAAGGCTATGGAATTGGAAATGGCTGCCTTGCATCAGAATAAGACTTGGGACTTTGTTCCTCTATTGCCTGGTATACATCCTGTTGGTAACAGATGGGTCTATGTTCCAAAGTTCAATCCTGATGGAACTGTTGATCGGTTGAAAGCCCGACTGGTTGCTAAAGGTTACACACAGACCTATGGTATTGATTATGATGAGACATTTTCTCCAGTTGCTAAGATATCTTCTATTCGCGTTTTGATTTCTATTGCCGCTAATCTTGGTTGGCCACTATTTCAATTGGATATTAAAACTATCTTTCTTCATGGAGACTTACACGAAGAGGTTTATATGGAGCAACCACCTGGGTTTGTTGCTCAGAGGGAGTGCCAGAACTATGTTTATAAGTTGAAGAAAGTTTTATATGGGTTAAAACAATCACCAAGGGCATGGTTTGGGAAGTTTTCTGAGATGGTTTTGAAATTTGGTCTTCAGATGTGTCAGACAGATCATTCAGTATTTAATCAACAAATTGGAGCAGGATATGCTATTCTTGTAGTGAATGTAAATGATATTGTAATCACTAGTGATAATGCAGATGGGATTGTCCG